CCCCCCCCAAAAAAAAAGAGGTAATCGGACAAAGAAAGTACCAAAAACCGATCGACGGCACTTTGTATTTAGACAACTTTTAGACATATCTTTCACTCGTAGAGTGCAAGCTCCATTTGGGTATTTAGAGAGGAAAAAAACAACAACAATTTATAGCTGATATAACAAGGTTGAAATGTGTTGAGTTTGTGCATGGAGTGTCAGTCTTGCAGGACCACAATCAAATTGCCATTATTATTTTGATCTATATTTTTCTATTCATCAAAATATATTCGTCATCCTTTGGAAATCGAAAGAAACTCAGATTTTGATTTTCATAGGCGCAGTTATAGCAGAACACTTCGTGCTAACCATGCTTGTCTGCGATCAACGAAACAGGAGCCTTGAACAATGGACGCCATTTTGTTTTGTTTACCGCGCGTTTCTCCACGATCAGCTGGTGACCCAGATACGCGCATTCGGGCGAAGTGCCGTCTCTCTTGTGGTTAGCCTACTAGTACTATAGGCTAAACCCTTTCTAATCGAATCAGAGAGGGTTTACAGTAATTACTGTAAACTCTCTGATCGAATCACGAGGCCGACGCTCAGCCAATCAGCGAGCCAATTTCTCATCTCCGACCCTAGCCTAGGCCTATTTAAAAGCGCCCGCGTTCAGTGGCCGGCTTCCCCTTCTGTTAATCCTTTCCTCCGCCAACCGCCGATTCCGCAAGTCCGAAACAGAAGTGACCCCAGTTTCAGTCTTCAGCCTAGGCTACTGGAACCTTCCACGTTTCCACGGCAAACTCAACACTTCAGCGTAGCTTCCTCAAGAACTCTTCTGGTAAGCCCGTCTACTTATGTGAGTAGTTTATAAGGATAGATCTAGGCCTAATCATATTGTATTATTGGCAGGCTCTATTTCCCCCCGAATTGAGGGGTAGGGGTAGATCAAGGGGTAGCCTGTAGTCTGTAGTGTAGTCTGTAGCCGTGGCGGGTCCCGATAGGGAGGGTTAGGGTTAGGCCTAGCCTAGGCCTCTTCTTTATTGTGTATGATGGGGTAGTCGATCGTTACGGAAATCCTTCCTTATGCCTATGCATGTGCGTGTGTGTATTGTTTGTCAGTGTGTAAGGTGTGACCTGGAGGGGGGGGGGGGAGGAGGGAATATAACGCAATTATATTATTACTTTCGAATGAGCATCGAAAATAAAATACCAACATTTAACGTCTAATAGCAGGGATGACAGGAGAGAGAGAGGCAGGCGGTAGTTTAACAAGTGTAAAGGAAAGCATTGTTGTAGTAACTGTTCTATGTTGCGTGTTTATTAAGCGGTAAACGTAAATAGAACAATATTTGAAATGTTGATCTTGCAAGCACATGCTACGAATAGAAACAGGCAATAATATATTACAGTCGAACCTGCCATAAACGGAAACCTGTCTTAATGGAATCTCCCCGCTCCCCCCTTGATATATTCAATTCCTCTTTAATTACCTGTATAAAATGGAAACGGAAAGAAAAATCCGCTCCCTTCCGAGGATTTCACCTGTCTAAGACGGAAAATGCGTTGCCCGCTCAGCCCTGATTTGAAACAAAACTGACAAAACTAGCAAGTTTGGTTCCGCTGGCTCTATCTAACTCTAAACTAACGTTATGGTCATGCGGCTGGCCGGGGACGAGGAGTAGGGGTACAATTTTGGGGTAGATGTTACCCCATCATGTGAGCCCTGAGCGATGCAGATGGTCAGTGTAGTGTAGGTGTGAAATCTCACGACTGCCCATGAGAGTGAGTAGTAGTAGTGAGCCCCTACAGAAACTTTCCTGGGTCCAGAAGGCAGAGGTGTGAAATTAGATTGACCAATGCCTGCCGCCCTGATCGTACGGTCAGCCGAGAAAAGAGTTCCTTGAATCGTTGTTACAATGATGGCAGTACAGTAAGGGGTGGCATTGGACCTTGGTGGGTGGGGCTGAGGAGGGAAACAAAGATGTTCAAACGTTTCTGTTTTTAAAAGGTCAAACAGTGGTCCTATGAAAGGCAAGCGCTGGTGGTAATTAAATTGGATAAAAGTAAGACTGACGCATGATGTCATTATCAGACAGGATAGCAATTGAGAGGTATGAAGTTTTGACCACTGCTTGCCGATTGGACAAGCGATCCTTGATCCCACCGGCCGAGCCTTTGAACCCCCCCAACTTCCATCTCCACCTAAATTCCCCTGTCTAAGACGGAATTTTTTTCTGGCTTCCTTGCGATTCCGTCTTACACAGGTTCGACTGTATAGTATAGAGGTAATTAGAAAACAACACATATTCCACTGGAAACATACACCAAGGACACTAGGCTCTCGGACTCGCAACCGTAAGGTCGTGGGTTCGAATCCCGCCAGGGACCCGACGTTGTGTCCTTGGGAAAGGCACTTTGCACAAATTTTCCTCACTTCACCCAGGTGGAAATGGGTACCCAGCGATAGACAGTGAAAGATCTTGTCAGTTTGATAGTGTTTGAGCGCATGAAATCCGCAGCTTGCACTGTATGCTTCCATGGAAGCTGAGAATGTTTCTGAGTGTTCTCAGAGGGTCTGCTGTAGTTGTAAAGCGCATAGAGCAAGCTCTTGAGCATGGATATGCGCTATATAAATGCAATTATTATTATACAGTTGCCCATTTCTTGGGGAGTTCAAAAGAACAATTTATCTAAAAAAAAAAAAAGATTCAAATTTCCTGTCATTGTTTTCTTCCTACCTTTCAAAACGAAGTAATTCTGTGAGTTGACTCTCTCCACTTATTGATTTCAAGAAAAGGTGGTAGACTCTTCGGAGTGATCTGAATGATTCAAAAGAGATGAAAACACCAGTAGAGAAACTAATAAATTGAAAATAAACTGAAACTAAGTGAAACTTTTGGAATAGCACCATCTCTTTCTTTACCAAAGAAAATTATGATACTGCACGACAGTTCCTCATTGGATGCAACTATTCCATGTTTCCGGAATATCGATGTGAACTGATCGTCAAATGCATCGGCTTTAAATTTTGTTAAAAGGCCTTTACTTCATCAATGTCCATAGCATGACATTTGTAGTCGGTTGGGGCTTACTTCGGGATTTAGAACACGTAACATACGATTTCGGCACTCGGAAAAGTGTTGGAGGTACTGCTAGACGATGGCCTCTTCCAGGTTGTATGTGTTGTATTTTGTACATTTTCAGGCCAATGCAAGGTACATCTATAAAATCAGTGACACCCTCTACTTCCATTTATTAGGCTAACTCACCACCCAAGCTTTGCTTTCTCGATGTCTTTAGGAAATTTGTAGACTGCCACCTTCTGATCACCAGGCTGATTTCTATCCAGATCTACAATCATCGTTCACAGAACATTTCTTCCCATGTTTACAAGTAAAGTGTAGTTCAAATTACTTCCATTCTAAAAACTCGCATTCTTCTAGTATTTTCATTATTCACAGCAGAATTTGTACTGCATCATGTTGTAATAGAAAAGAAAGTACATGAAACAATAGTAAGTATTACATTACAATAGATTCTGATAGACACACTGCATCGCTGAATAAGATAATGAGATCATGTATGTGCGTTAAATTGTGTTGGTTCAAATTATATTTACTGTCACCCCCCCCCATGGGTCGGAGGGATATAAATAGACCCACTGCTCCGCCAGCAGGAGGTGCAACCCCTTCACTGGTGATTTGTCGCCCATGGACATCTATGCCCAGGTGCACATGGGTGACATTTTCGCGGCTGTACGGAAGAAGAGATGGTTCAGGAGGTCGATGGAATTGTCCATGCTCGTCGTATCAAAGTGCCGCGAGATGGCAAGGAAATCTGTACCGACACGTGGATCATTACCTTCAACATACCCACACCACCAACAAAATTAGACTTCGCATACCTAGAACTAGAAGTAAGACCATATCGAAACCGATGCGCTGTTTCAACTGTCAGCGCTTTGGACACACACAGCTACGCTGTTGTCGTGGTGTAGCGTGTCCTCGCTGCGGCACGGAAGGACACTCTGGGGAGACCTGCTCTGCAGATCCCTGGTGTCCAAATTGTCGACAGGGGGGTAATTCTGCATCTTCGATGGAGTGTCCGAAGTGGTGTCAGGAGAAAGCCATCCTATCACATAGGGCCCAGTACGGCAGAACTTTCGCTCAAGCAAGAGCAACGCTTTACCCAAAAGGATCGATGCCGAAGAATGCAACGAAAACATATTCAGAAGTCCGGAAGACAGTCCCAGGGTCAGTAAACCAAACCCGAAAGATCCTTCAGACACATAGAAGGCAGAACACCTGCAATAAACAGTGTTCCAGTCTGGAGACGGAGGAGGACATTGAGTTCACTTCCTCCCCTCCTACCTCTCCCACTCTCCATCCGCCATCTCCCCACACCCCCTCTTCATCACCACCCTCTCAGCCATCTTCTTCATCCTCACCCCCCTCATCATCCTCACTCACCCTCATCATTCTCATCATCGCCCCCATCATCATCTTCACCCACAACATCACCTTCACACAAATCACCACATCCTACACCCTCATTGCTTCAACCTCCATCTCCCTCACCTCGCCCACATCAACCTCCATCCCATCATCCTTCATCCAATAAAGCCCCTCCACCCACTCCCCTCTAAAGATGTAGGTACGAAATATTTTAAATGTCAAAATGTCAAAACCCCTTTTCAGAGCAGGATGCGTGGTTCAAATGTTTATTTGTAAACGTTGATTTAGGTTGGGCAAAGTCAAGTTATTTAGGTTCTTTTTTTACTCCTAGACCCGTCTCAAGCTTAGATATATTCTAAAACATTTTTCTTGTTTATTTATATATATCTAGTATCTCTGCTTTACACAAATTTTGACTTTATATCTGTTGCAAATTAGTTTTATTAGATTTTTGGATATTTTTATACTTTATATGAACTATGTTACAATGGGACCAATGGCGTAGTTTTTTACTTGTTTTTTAACAACATGGGGGGGGGGGGGACATACCCCCCTGACTTGCCTGATCTAAAAAGAATCTGGGGGTTTTCAGGGGGAATATGCCCATGATTTGATGTTTTGGCAATTAGGATTTATAATTACTTGACAACAATTGATTTGCAAAGGTTTTAGTGGCCATATATCGCGACCTCAGTGCAGTGCTTTGATGTCGCGATATATGCTTGTTCTGCAGCAACTATATTATGATGGCAGTTTAGCCCTCAAAACTGTGCGTCTGCGTGCGAGTCTTAAAGGAGAACTTTACCGTCTTTTAGATCTAGCTGTGCTAATATGGATGTACAGTGCAGGGGAGAACAGCATGGCCTTGGATTGTATGGATTCTACACATTTTATGGTACAAAGCAACACAAGCAGAAAAAACTTGAAGTTGAACTTTTAACTGTCAAGTTATGTTTCTCCTTTGTACCGGTAATGTACAGTACCGGTACGCAAATATATATATATAGAGAGAGATTTAGCTGTTATGCTACTATTGTGGATATACAGTACCGGTACAAGGGAGAAAGGCATAGCCTTGGTGGATTTATGTGGATCAACAGAAGCAAAAAATTATTTATACAAGGTATGTTTTTTTCTCACTTATTTTTCTAGTTAAATTAAGGCTTGAATAGCCAGAAAGGGCATATAATATATTATAGGGTACTCTGAAATTAAAAAAAAACCTCAAATATAAGAGGGGCGCTGTGACGTAACTACAACATAACATAGACAGCTGTGACGTCACTACAATGACATAACATAGACAGCTGCGACGTGACTACAACGACATAACATAGACAGCTGTGACGTCACTACAACGACATAACATAGACAGCTGCGACGTGACTACAACGACATAACATAGACAGCTGCGACGTCACTACAACGACATAACATAGACAGCTGTGTCGTCAGTAGCCACTGGAGCAGCCTCTACAACACCAAACAACAAAACTAGACAATATCCAGTTAGTCAGTGATCACCATCATGTCTTGTCCTCTGTTTTTTGTCCTCTAGGTTGACAGTCTAAAAATGGCGGCCCAGCAATTGAACGTTTCATCTCTCCAGGCAGCAGTTGGTGAGTTTGTGTGTGTGTGTGTGTGTGTGTGTGTGTTTGAATGGGTGTCGCTCTCTTTGTCTCTCTCTCTCACTTTATTTCTACCTCTCTCCCTCTTCCCCCTCTCTCTCTTTCTGTCTCTGTCTCTCTGTCTCTCTGTCTCTCTCTCTCTCCCTCTCTCTCTCTCTCTCTCTCTCTCTCTCTCTCTCTCTCTCTCTCTCTCTCTCTCTCTCTCTCTCTCTCTCTCTATCTATCTATCTATCTCTCTCTCTCTATCTATCTATCTATCTTTCACTTCAACTTCCACCATCTCTCTGCATTTCTGTATTTTTTCTCCCCTTTTTTTAAAAGGGGGGGGGGGGCAGTGCCACTGACTGCAGTGTCTTTAGGCCATTCCCAAAGGGGGGACATTTCTCGTTCAAGCACAGTAGAATTGTAAATGGGCTGACTCATGTCACGTTCATAACTGCCTGATCTACAACAGGGAACTGCTGCTTTTTTTCTTTCCTAATCTTTACTATTGTCATTTCCCTCTACTTCTTTTGTATGTTTGTCACACTCTTGTGACCCGTTATTTCCGGGGTGCCTTGATAGTCAAAGCAGACCTTGTGCTGTTGAAGCTAGACAGGTGAGCAGAATAAGTCTGGTTCCCTGTAAAGACTTCTCTGTTGACATCCACCCCTTGGCTCTCATATATAATGACCTTGTATGCAGTATCGTGTGCCATAAAACCCTCTAATAAAAAACACAACTTTCTGTCTGTCTCTCTCTCTCTCTCTGTCTCTCTCTCTCTCTCTGTCTCTCTATCTCTCTGTCTCTCTCTCTCTCTCTCACTCACTTTATCTCTTTCTCTATTTTATTTCTCTGTCTGTCTCCCTCACTCTTCTCTCTCTGTGACTCTGTCTGTGGGTGCTCTGGTGTGGTTTGCGTCTATCTCCCCTCCTTCTTTTTTGTGTTTGTCACTCTCTTGTAACACCTCTAATCTTCGGCACTTATGTGACCTTATTGTGTTTTAAGTGCCGTAAAAACACTTACTAAAGCTTACTTTACTTTAGTTTTCTGATCCAGCGGCCATTTGGGTTCTAGCCCTTCGGCCTAAACTTACAAAAACAAAAGGTCACTTCCTCTGATTATCTGTCTCTGTCTGTGTCCCTCTCTTTCTGTCTCTGTCCCTCTTTCTGTCTTTTTCTTTATCTTTTTCTCTATCTTTCTCTCCGCCCCCCCACTCTCTCCCTCTCTCTGTCTGTCTCTCTCTCTCTTGCTCCCTCTCTCTCTCTCTCTCGCTCTCTCTCTCGCTCTCTCTCTCTCTCTCTTTCTCTCTCTCTCTCTCTGTCTCCCTCCCTGTCTCTCTATCTTTCTCTGTCTTTGTCTGCCCCTCTCTCTCTCTCTATCTTTCTTTCTCTCTCTCTCTCTCTCTCTCTCTCTCTCTCTCTCTCTCTCTCTCTCTCTCTCTGTCTTTCTCTCTCTCTCTCTCTCTCTCAAAGTCCCGGGGCGGTGCTACTGACTGAAGTGTCTTTAGGCCATTCCCAAAGGGGGAACATTTCTCGTTCGTGCACAGTAGAATTGTAAATGGGCTGATTCATCATGTCTCGTACATAACTGTGCCTGATCTATAACGGGGAACTGCTGCTTTTTCTTTACCAATCCTTACTATTGTCTTTTATCCTCTACTTCTTTTGTATGTTTGTCACACTCTTGTAACTCTCTATTTGCGGGGTGCCTTGATAGTCGAAGCAGACTTTGTGCTGTTGAAGCTAGAGAGGTGAGCAGAGTAAGTCTGATTCCCTGTAAGGACATATTCTGTTGACATCCACCCCTTGGCGCTCATATGACCTTATGTAGCAAGCGCCGTAAAACCTCTACTAAAACTGACTTTCTCCCTGTCATTCTCTCTCTTTCCCTCCCCCCCCTCACCCCCCCCCCCCCCCCCAATTTGGCCTCTACTCTTACTGTTCACCCACCACCATGTATATTCCACAAGTATGTCCACTACGTACCTCACTCTATGTCCAGTCTCCTTCACCAAGTGACCTCCTTGTTTCAGAGCACAATTCCACTGTCCTGGAAATTATTCTAAGGACGGTGCAGGATCTGCAAGGAGAGAGTCTGAAAACCAACCGAAGACTGTTGGGTCTGGAAGCCAAAGTGACCGGTCTTCTAGACAGGACCTCCTCACTGCCTGGCACCCCCACACCGGGCCCCCAGACCCCCGGCACCCCCACACCGGGCCCCCAGACCCCCAGTACCGAGTCCTCCGCCAAGGAAGAAATCCTGGCAGAGATTCGAGAACAGTCTAAGGAGATACAGTCTTTTCTGGAGCAGAGGGTGAATGACGCGGAGACAGCCGTGACGTCAGAAATCACGGAAACTAAACGCGTGCTCTCCTCGAGAATAAAAAACCTGTCCAAAAGTGTTCAAGCAAATAATAGGAGAAATAATAACTCAAATTCAAAAATAGGCAGACTCATAAGAACTGCCGCTTTCACAAACACGAACATAAACCAAAAATTTGGAAAACTTCAGGAAACTCTCAACGAGGCAACGGGCAGAGTGAATGAGCTCTGCGATACGGGCAAGAAAAACTTAGCTATAGTAGAAAGAATGAAGAAGGATTTTGAGACGGAGGGTCGGGTCCTGGACTTGTTACGGGCAGACAGTAGGGCGGTTATTGACCAAATAGTAACCGAAGGTCAGATTACACGGGAGGTGGTAATGGGGGAAAGAGAAACGCGGTTAATGTACACGTGTGACTTTTACGTCACACAATTTAGTGACTGGGTGGGGTCGGGGGAAGGTCAGTACAGCCGGCTCTGGTACGTAGACCAGGTCGAAACTTACTTAAAGGGTCATGTGCGTTTTCATAACGACAAGAAAATGGATGTGTGGCTGGTTAACGGTCGGTACCCGCACGTTGTGGGTCTGGCTGGTCGGACTGGGGTACGTGATGTCAGAGTGAGTGTGGCGGTGGTGGGACAGACAGAGACAGGGGACAACTGGGAGCTGGGGAGTTTTGAGTTTAACCCTGACGAGATGTTCATCCCTGTAGAGTGTGATGGCTGGGTGGGTCCCGGGGGATGTCATGTAGCCTCCGGCGTGTCTCATGAAGAGCTGTACTCACGGGGATTGGTAACGTGTGACAGAATTCTTCTACGGTACACCATCACTGTACTGTAGGTGATAGAGGCGGGGGTTGAGGGGGTGTCGACAGTCGGATACACAGACAGACGGATACACAGACACACAAAGAGACATAGACGGACAGACAAACACACTCACAGACAGATAGACTGACTGACACACAGACACAGGCAGACGGACGGACTGACACACAGACACTGACAGACAGACGGACTGACACAGTCGGACAGACTCACAGATAGATAGACCGACACACAGACAGACTCACAGAAAGACAGACCACCACACAAACACGTACAGATTTAGACATACGGAATGATAGATGGATAGATAGACACTCTCTTCCCCATTTCCCGAGGAGCTCAGTCAGTCTGTCCGTTTGCCCGTCAGTCAGTCACCTTGTTAAAAAGTCAATCTTATTCAAAGTTAATCAATCAATCAATCAATCTATCAATCAATCAACCTCCCTCCATAGCACCCAGTATATGAGTCTGTCAGTCCCACAATCCCCAAGTCAACTAACAACCTCATTTCTCAGCTCTTCAACCATTCAGTCAGTCAAACACCATTAGTTAATCAGTCAGTCATTCAGACATTCTCCAGATCAACATTTAAAGCAACCAGCTAGACATCCAAATATTTCTTTTTAATTTTTGAACACTGATGATAGGTTGGTCTATTTTTGAGGAGTGGGCGTGGTTGGTTTGTGTGTGTGTGTGTGTATACTACTTACTTGTTGAGGTTTTTCTCAGTTGTGTTTATATTTGCACACACTGTTGGCCTACCTTGGCTATATATTTACTCTGCTGTATTACTAGCCTGCATACTCGTTCTATGAACGGGAAAATAGTGTTTTCTAGACGAAAATTAATGTTTCGATGTAAATAAAAATGTCAATACTGCAGTAATTTAAACAGTTGTCTGATTAAATCAAAATATTCCCTGTGTTTTTTTCCGGACAGCTGTCATGAAAGTGTCAAATATATACTCCTGGTCTGATGGTAACGGTGCATGGTTTCTCGATGCCCTTTGTCTTTTTTCTTCTACAGCGTAGGTGATTTCTCTGCGGTAATAATAATAATAGATAGCATTTGTATAGCGCAAATCCCCGCTCAACAGCAGGCTCTATGCGCTTTACGCTATATTATTATCCCAGCAGACCATAGAACACTCCGAAACATTCTCAGCTTCCCGGGAAGCATACAGTGCAAGCAGCTGATTAAGCGCTCAAACACTAACATACTGACAAGATCTTTCGCTGTCTATAGCCGGGTACCCATTCCCACCTGGGTGAAGTGAGGAAAATTCGTGTAAAGTGCCTTTCCCAAGGACACAACGTCGGGTCCCTGACGGGATTCGAACCCACGATTAAGGTTGCGAGTCCGAGAGCCTAACCACTAGGCCACCGACGCCGACGGTAGTCTTGCTCTACTCTCTCTACATACAGCAGCTCTTCGTGCAATCGGAAGTCCATATGAATCGAGACTTTTTGCCCTACCATTTGTAAAACAGTCTTCAAGCCGCACTAAAGCAATGTTGTCTTCTTCTTCTTCTTCTTCTTCTTGATTTACTGTGTTGCCCTTGCCGCACAGAATGTCTTCCGTGTGGGTGGTTGGCGGGTGCTCTGGTGTGGTTTGCTTCTTCTTTCCTATCAAACGTCTATCGTCCTCATCTCTCCTCCTCCTCCTATTTTGTGTTTGTTACTCTCTTGTAACACCTCTAATCTTCGACACTTATATGACCTTATTGTGTTGCAAGTGCCGTAAAACTCTTACTAAAACGAAATGTCTTCCGTCAAGTTTTGTTTATGTTGAAACCAAGTGAGCTATGTGTCGCTTGGATTGCACCGAGTAATGATGATGGCTAACTGTGAACGCATAGCTTGTGGTGTTGCACTCATACCTGCCTCTTGCATTGTTAGATGCCAAGCATTGTCATTGTGTAAGAGTCCATGCAGCCTACACGCCTCTCTAAAAGTCTGACATATCACACCGTTGACAGTTTCCAGGTCATCAACGGGGACCGGTGACAGTGGTGAAGCGGAAGTCTCAGAAAAAATCATTGCCCTTACCTGGGGCTGATGGTGTAACCTCTGCCTATTGTGGGACCTTCACAAACATCTTGTCCTTCTATTTTCCCTCCCCGTTTTCATTCCTGATTCCCACGTATAAAATGGAGGTACATCTGAGTACAGTAGATTTGCTGCAAAATCATCCTCTTGAACTCTTGGCAAAGGTTGAAAAAGGCTGTAACAGTGGTTGGTGGAGTGGGGGGGGGGGGGGGTCATTTGTTGCTCTCTCAAGTGCAGTTTGTGCATTGAAGTAAACGCGCTGTCCATTGTCCTAATGAACAGCAAGCTGTATAACACTTGGATGCCTCTCATGTGGTGGGAATTCGAATATCCTCCAAACTGCCTCTGTGCTTCCAAGTTCCAATGCAGCTTGCGTTGAGTAAAGTTTTAATTTCATTATCAGCATGGGGATTTTCCATTGTTGACTTGAAAAGTAGCCTGGTCGGTGCCTTTGTGAACATATTATTATATTTGAGAACGTATATTAATTTTATGCTCCAGACCGAAGTGCATATTTGAACATTGATACGGCAGTTTAGTTGTCGCAAAAGCCATGGGTTATATTGGAATGACCCACTGATTGTCGACAACCTTTTTGAGTTTGTTTCCCATTGACTGTTGAAATTATGGTTCATCTGCCATAAGAATAGCAACTCTTTACAAGGCGGTGCATTGTAACGTCTCTCGTGCTCACCGGGTGGTCTAGCAATTTCATGAACTGATACGTTGAAATTTTGAAGTCCCATTTTGAGTTGCACATTGGTATGCAGCGTTTATCTCTTTGATGTATTTGTAGTGTGTTTGTAGACTGTCTTGTAACAGATTGATTATATTGCGTTTAAGACTGCAGTCATGTGTCATTGTCATTCTTGATTTTGTTTAGTCCTCCGAGTCTAAAAAATAAACCTGCAAAAAACTAATTTTCATGTTCTGTTGGGAGTAATGAGCCAACCAAGTGATAGATCTAAACCTGCCCTATCACTCGGAAATTTGGGTTCCAGCCTTGCAAATTGATCTTTTGACATCCAAAAGATGTCATTTGAAATGAACAATTATACTTTCTGATGTTGCTTAAAAAATGCCCTGAGTCTGGGGAATTACCCATGAATGTTTAATTTCTGGAGGCAGAGGTGGGTATGGCTGCTCCTTCTTTCCTATCTAACATCCATCGTCCTTTTCTCCCCTTCTTCTTTTTTATGTGTGTTACTCTCTTGTAACACCTCTAATCTGCTGGCGCTCACATGACCTACTTATGCAGTTGCGAGCGCCGTAAAACCTCTACTAAAACTAAACTAAGGATCCAGTTTTATGTTTCCCATTCCCACAGCAAATACTTTTTGTTTCTCCTTGAAACTTTGTAGCATTACAACAATGGTTGCGCACGTTTGTCATTTGTCCAATAGAGCAAGTACAAGTATTGTCATGACATAGAGATCAGCATCATTGTGTGTATGTAAAGGCTGGTGGATTTCTATTTAGTGCATCAGTGTCAGGTTAATCTTTTTGTTCTTCCTCTTCATTTACTGCATGTTCTTCCTCTCCCTCTGTATTTCCCTAACCCACCTTTCCTCTGTTCCTGGATAAAACAATGTTACATTTCAACAAACGCCTTCCTTTGAATATATAAGTAATATGTCATAATGTGACAAATATCGTTTCCTGGATAAGATGATGTCATAGTTCAACAAACACTGTCCTCATAAGGTTAATCATATGACGTACATGTATCATAATTTGACAAATATGCCTCCCTGGAAAGAAAAGGGTGCTATTTTAGATTTAAACATTTTTTTTTTACATTTCTGCTTTCTCTGGATTAAAGTTAGAAAGATTCCCCTTCCTACCAAACTGGCTTGGTACATGACACATTACTTTGGTGATTCTTTGTAAATGAAAAATTAACAGGAGAAAAAGAAACGGGCAGACCAAGAACTTGATGAGATAAAATAAAACTAAGGTAACGAACATTAATAAAAGAAGAGAAAGAAAAAAACCTTTTCAGATCGTCTTTTGAGTTAGGGGGATGTTGGGATGCTTGAGGAGGGAGAGGTAAAATGAGATTCCACACCTCTAGTCACAACTTTGTTATTATTTATTGTATTATTATTAGATTATGATAAAGTACATTGCTCCTGTGGGTGGTAGGTCCTACTTCTTCACCTTCCCTCTGGGTTTTTTTTTTCTTTTAGTCTGTCTTACTTTTTCTCAGCTCGCAATGACCATTATAGTGTCGCTGTGCTTCTCTTTCCTCAAACAAACAAACAGAACATTGTTCCTCCTGTACCACTGCCATGTTACCTACAGACAACGAACATGTTATAGCACGATCATAACTATTGGGTGTTATCTTTGAGAAAATGAAATGACCTTATTATGTTTAATAAATTGATCATGTTATGAGTTATCTTTGAGAAAATGAAATGCCCATATTATGTTTAATAAATTGATGATATTATGAGTTATCTTTGAGAAAATGAAATGATCATATTATGTTTAATTATGGGTTGTCTTTGAGAAAATGAAATGACCATATTATGTTTAATAAATTGATCATATTAGGAGTTATCTTTGAGAAAATGAAATGATCATATTATGTTTAATAAATTGATCATATTAGGAGTTTTCTTTGAGAAAATGAAATGATCATATTATGTTTAATAAATTGATCATATTAGGAGTTATCTTTGAGAAAATGAAATGATCATATTATGTTTAATTATGGGTTGTCTTTGAGAAAATGAAATGACCATATTATGTTTAATTATGAGTTGTCTTTGAGAAAATGAAATGATCATAATATTATGTGTTATCTTTGAGAAAATGAAATGATCATATTATGAGTTATGTTTGAGAAAATGAAATGATCATATTTTAGGTGGCATCGGTGGCCTAGTGGTTAGGCTCTCAGACTCGCAACCGTAAGGTCATGGGTTCGAATCCCAAAATGTGCCCGACGTTGTGTTCTTGGGAAAGGCACTTTACACGAATGTTCCTTCCTTTACACAGGTGGGAACGGGTACCCAGCTAAGGACACTAAAAGATTTTGTCCGTTTATTAGTGTTTGAGCG